TAAACTGTCTTTCACATCATTCGATCTCTGGAACAGATGCCCATTTTGAGGTTTCGATAATGCACATCTGTCTTTCAGAACTGTTCAGTTTAAAAAGCAGGTGATTGAAGAAATTCAAATGCTTTTCATGAGGAGGAGGGGATGAAAAGGAGAAGACTTTATTCAAGGAGAAAAGCCTCTCCAAGTCAAAATCAGAATGGCTCCAACGTAATGGCAGAGCGCTTGAAAGCAGTATTCATTCCTGTATGGCAGAGCATGAAAGTGGCAGTGATTGCTACTCGCTCCTGTTGCAGACTCGATAAGAGAATTGCAAATATTAAAAAGGCCCTGAGCAGCAGTCACTCTCTTTGGTGCTGCAAGACATGGTCCTTTGGCAAATGCGTCATCATAGTTATCTTGGGAGAAAGACAATCCAACTTTCCATGGGGAAGGGGTGAAACAGGGATGTCAGCATCCTTGCAAAAGGTGTAAATTTTATATTAGCATCCTGCCTTTTAACCTGGAAAGCAGGTGGTGCAAGATAAACAATAAAATCAGTGGCCGGCATCCTGTGTTGCCGTTATGGAGTCATAACCTAGAGTCACAGATTCATAACTGCTCTGTCTTCACTAATATTGTATATTCGTGATCATGGCGCTATTGCCATGGTTGAATATGTTTCCTCAAATCTACTCTAATAGCCAGCAGCCACATGGAGCGATGGATAGCCATTCTGCTGGCAAATGGGGTACAAGCTGGATGATGTTTGCTGCTCCCCAAGGCTTACCTGTCCTGGTTGTTTCATTTCACATGTGCATACTGTCAGTTTTGTATAAGCATTCTGCTCAAATGTGTTGAAGTGCTCTTCTTTTTTTGTGGTGGAGCAACCTATACTTATTCTCTCTGTGTTATTTCTGCCTCTGTTTTTAAACCTCCAAAGAAGGAGGCTCCACCACACTCCAAAGCAGTGTATTCCACTGTCGAACAGCATGTGTTTGTGTGTGTTTGTGTGTGTGTCATGGTGTCCTCCTGTGAAGGGCAGAGGAGAGCAGAGAAGCATGTGGCTATGCCTTCATAGCCAAACATACACCAATAACATCATTGGTTGAGATCTCAAGAGGACCTCCATGGATTTCAGTAGAAGATGTTTTTGGCCTGGATCTGGCTATAGGAACATAGCCAGACATTTCTATTTCCCCCCCCCCCTCCACCAGCCACTAAATGGTCATGGGTGGTGTGGTGTCACAACATAGCCGTGATTCCTGGGGATGGTGACAGGGAAGGCACAGGAGTGCCGCATGTGAAACACTTACACTATGTTCAACCACATAAGATTGTGGCCACAGCTTCCTCTCCCCCAAAATGTGTATTTTCCATAGAAAAACTGTGTGTATTTCTGTGCAGAATAAATCCACAGGAGAATTCTCAGAGTAAATGTTGAGAGAAGATTGCACAGAATTCCTTGCATTCTCCCACAGCGAAGAACACAGTTTGGAAATGATTCACTGTTCCACTCTAGGGTGAACAGTGCATTTATATCATGGACAAAGAGATCACTGTTCCACAGAAGCTGATATTCTTGTAGTGGTTGTTAACTGCTGCTGCTGTTAATTGTTGTCAATTATGGAGACCCCATGAATGAGAGACCTCCAAGTCTCCCTGCCTTCAATGGCCATGCTCAGATCTTGCAGATTCAAGGCCATGGCTTCCTTGATTGACTCTGTCCATCTGGAATATGGTCTTCCTCTTTTCCTACTGCCTTCTACCTTACCAAGCATTATTATCTTATCTATTGAGTCATGCTTTCTCATGATATAGCCAAAGTACAACAGCCTCAATTTAGTCATCATGGCTTCTAGGGATAATTCAGGCTTGATTTGTTCTAGCATCCATTTACTGGTCTTTTTAGCAATCCATATCTGCAGAACTCTTCTCCAGCATCATATTTCAACTTTTCTTACTATAAATTTTGTTCACTCTCCAGCTTTCGCAACCACACAGAGAAATGGGAAATGCAATGGCATGGACAATTCTAACTTTAGTATTCAATCTTTACACTTTAGGATCTTGTCTCGTTCCTTTATAGCTGCCATTTCAAGTCCTAGTCTTCTGATTTTTTGACTGCAGTCTCCATGCTGATTAATTGTTGAGCCAAGGTATGGAGAATCTTGAAAAATTTCAATGTCTTCTTTGTCTGCATGAAAGACTATATCATAATCATAGAATCATAGAATCATAGAACCATAGAGTTGGAAGAGACCAC